CTCATTTTTTTGCAAACAGCTAGTGATTTAGTACTCGGTAGTGTAGCTGTTGTTTATGAACAAAAGTCTAAATTGAATTCGACATCCGTCAACAAAAAGGAATCGCGCTTATTACTCTGTAGAGGATAGCCAATTAATTTAATTCACTAACAACCCGTTCTATAATATGAACTTGAAATCGGCCAACAAATTGCCACGACTGAAATACTACAATGAAAATAGGGTCTCTGAACTACCAAGTTCACCGAACGGTCAAGTTTCTCTGCAAAGATCGCCCCTTTGCCCAATTTTCCTCGAGTAGATCATCGTGTTTTTAAGTCAAGGATTATGTATACTTTAACATAAAAGAATAAAAAAGTGGTGATAAAGGGTAGATTTTGAATAAAATACGAATATCTGATAAAATGCACTATCCGATAAAATGCAATATCCGTTGGATAAATTTATCCGAGGTCCGGAGGTAGTTTAAATCCACTATCCGGCGGATAAACTCGAAGTTTGAAGACAAAACAATGTGTATTTAATTTAAAAAGGATTGCTATTGTGATAGAAATAGACAAATACCGTTTAGAAGTTCCTTTAATTCTTGACACTATAAAATAAACGTGGAAACTTACTTATGTCATGACTTCTCTTGCTTTTGACCATAGTTAATAGAGGACAGGGTTTGGAAGGCCGGCAAACGTCAAAGGCTTTCGAGCTAATTAATTTCAGATGTTGGAAAGGTACGTCACGTGACATTTCGGGTGCATCAAATTCAGAAATTACTATAGCGTAGTACTACAGAAATATGCTATTGTGCTTATAAATTTTAAAATAAGGCATTGTTGTTCTTGTTATGGCTTCCACAAGTTCGGAATACGATTCAGAAAGCAAAATTCTTCCAATTCTGGGTGCTGGAGACGCAGATACAACGACAGAGGCGATTTTCATCGAACTATTTAGCTGATATATCTAGACATGAATGTCATAAATAGCAGGTCCTAAGGCTTACGTCCAATTGTCAATTACAAGTCCAGATATTGACCTAGTACAGTGATTCAATGTCTACTGACATGGTAATTTGTTAGTTTTGATCATTCTGTCACATCAAAATAGAAATGTTATTCCAAGATATTTCATATTTCTTATTTGATATTTCCTCTGTATGGTACAATAATGACGTAAGGGTATTAAACTTAGTTCTTATTCCTCTCCAAACGCTTTGTAGACCAACTGTTGGATGGCAGAAGATTTTACCTATGTGCAAAGGATTATATACCCAGAAATATTATTTAATGTTTTTATTCCACTAGTAATTATCAGTGAAATCAGAAGAGCTTGGACCACTTGCTTATGTTGCTGGGGAGGGGCCCACAGGGCTGTGGGCACCAAATTCATGACTTAATGTCGTGCTTTAGAAAGCACACAAGAATTGGCCTCTCTTCTCCGCAGAGAAATGTATCTCAATACTAATCGTATAATCATGGCCAACAGAAGCCTCTGCGGAGGAGAGAGAGAATAGCCAAACCTATTTCTTTACATGTTGATAAAGTTGTTATAATAAGAATGTCCAAGCTCCTCCATTAGCAAAAAGTTTGTGGAATGACATTATTGAGCAATCTAATGTTGCAGTATCAAAAGAATGCCAGAGTCCTTGTGTTTTGAGAACATTGTTAAACTGTATGGCTGTTCAAAGTTTCTCATTTGCAGGGGATATTGATAAGTACAATTGCAACAAAAAACCCGAAAAGAATGAAAAAGGTTGTCGGTCTGCTTCGATTCTTGTGTAATAGTGATTTACAGTATATATTAATTAGTACAAATTTTTACAAATTATTTAACTAACGTAATATATTGTTCTAGTCTTATTGTTTACCTATTCATTTATAACTGTTTCAATAATTATTTTATACCAATGTACAAATTATTGCATATTACTCTTTTGAAGCAGTGCTGTCATTAAGTTTACAAGTAGGTGGCCGAAAAATGATTGAACATTGAAGGCACAAGACTCCAAGAGGGGTCTGGGTGTATGCCCCCAACCCGAAATCTAAACAATCGGAAATGCCATTCCCTGCATTTTGGAAGGTGTTTTACAGAGTTCTTAAGATTACAAAACATCCTATCAAA